ATATATATATATATATATATATATAATAAAAGCTACTCTCTGTCTGCTTCTTATGAAAATATATAATTCCAATTTTTCAAAATCCATTTTAAACCATCTATTATGACACAAACAATACTGAGCAGTGTTTGTATCCCCATGTTTCATTTTAATGAAATTGGATGTAATAGTATCACAACTTAATTTTAATTTTTTCTGTCACTATAATGCTTTAAAGAAAAATGAACACTTAACTAAAATTAAACAAATCTCTAATTAGATCTACCTTTTCTTTTAAGACTTCTGATCTCAAAATCATGTGCTTAAAATAAAAAAGATATGGAAACACTCTTAACAATAATGATTCTTCTACAGTATGTTATCAAAATCATGTAAAAGAATGTGATGACAGAACAATAATAATTTTGATAATAAACCTTTGATGTAAATGACATTTAAACATTCTAATAATATTGGTAGAGCCACTAAAAAACTGTTACAAACATTTATTTTTGATAGAATGGAGTAAACACACTAACAGAGATAGTCATTTATTAATTTACTTTTTGAGGACATTTTAAGATGATTGATTACAAACACTGGTAAAAACTATCCTATGTGATGACACAGAATGTCTTAAACCCCAAATTACTATCCATCTATCTATATATACTGTACTGAATAATTTCATGTTTCTGCTAGTTATAACACAGTGTAAAGAAGTGGGTGAAATCACCAATTTTATATCTAAAATACAAAGAGAAACCCCAGAAGCAGCAATTAGTAGAATTCATTGTGATATTGAAGATATTTATGTAAACTTTGAAGTTTGTATGGTTTATATGTTATTAGGTGCTCTGTAATCAACAAAGTAATGGACACACAAGAAATTTGATGAATAAATAGTTTAGAACAAAAAACATGTTTAAATAACTAATGGGGGGGTTCTATATCCACCTCTATCATTAGTTCTAGAGTTAAAGGGTATATGCTAAATACTTTACTTATACTTCTGTTCAATATAATAGCATTAATGGTGAACATTTTTCTATGCTTTACCATCCACAAAAACACATGCTAGACTCCAGTTATGTTATTTTCTGGCAAACCCACAAATAACAGCAGATTTGTTCAAGAAATAAGATAATTATGTTTTAAGTTTATAACTTTACTAAGTTTATTTAGGTGTAAGATAATGAGTCAAGACAAATGTAAATAAGTGAACAAAATCTTTATCATCACAAATAAATAAAAAGAACAGTGTGCATAACTGCACAGATGGAGTCACAGTCAATTCTACTGGAGCGTGTTAAGCTCCACAGCTTTCTTTCTCTCAAGATCAACTTTTGTGGAACTAAACACTGGTTTTCTAGAATGATCTTCTCTCCACAATCTCCTAGCATAACTGACTAAAAAAAGTGTTCATAAGTTCAACAGGTAATCTCACTTTCTTTGTTCAGTTAACAGTATCACCTTGTGACATTTGTTCTCCTACAGTATTGTTCACCTGATATATTTAGTCAATTTCAACCTGGCCTGCATAGGATATTACAGTGATAATCCTTTCAACTGCAATATCCTCTCAGGCAGAATAGACATTACCTACAAGTAAACAAGGCAACTAAAACAAAATTAACTTAGCAACTTTCTGAACTATGGGTTACCACTGTTACAGAGTAAAACTAAACAACTGAAAAGCAGTTAAAAACATTATCTTGCATCTAATGTTGACACATAAAAGTATTATAATACATAACTGAAAAGTCTTAGGTATTTAATTCAATACCATGGAGAAACTTCACAACTTCTCTAAGTCCCATCATCCAGACAAAAATAATCTCCACAAAAGTAGGTTACAAGTGCTTTTCTTTATAGAATCTATTTTAAATCTTTTTTTCCACATCATACACATTTTTCACAAATAATATTTTATGTGATGCATAGTGTGGAAATAGTTTTATAATGTCTTCTTAACATCAATATTCCATAAGCATTCACTGAGATTATTAGAAAATTTAGTGTGAATCTGAGGGTCTGATAACCATTTTGTTCATAAGATGGCGCTACAAATCATTTGATAAAGAAATTGACAAGTTAATATTAAATATACTAAAAAATTTATAATGTGCTCTTAACATCAATATTCCATAAGTATTCATCTGAGATTATTAGAAAATGTAGTATGAATCTGAGGGTCTGATAATCATTTTGCTCATAAGATGGCACTACAAGTCATTTGATAAAGAAACTAGCAAGTTAATATTAAATATACTAAAAAATTATACCTGCCACAGGCATGGAAGAACTAGGCCTATAAAATGGCCCTTTGACATCACTACTACAACCCCATCAGACAACATTTTTGAAATTTGACTCCTGAAGGCAAGAGAAAATTATCTTTATAATGATGTCTCATTTAATGTTGTAGCTCTTGTAGTTACATCAAATATTGTAGGTAAATAGGTAGATACAGTGCCTAATTTCTAGAAAAAGTACCCAATCCCTGTTGACAGGTGTGGGGGATTTTGAGTTTTGTAAGATAAGAGTTTAAACATTATTAAGTCTACTAATTAGGTTAGGACTGAAGGAAAGCAATCTTGGTGCCTAATCTGCAAGATATCAATTTGCATTGAAACTAAAGCAGTTTTAAAATTAATTATAATTTTTATAATTTAGCTTTATTTTATAAATCCAAATTAGGTTCCATATCTTAGATTCTGAAAGATCTGACAAAAGTTAAGCATTGGTAGATAAAAAAATAGCTAATTTCTTTTTATCCCTTGCAGAGAGACTGTTAAGCCTTAGAATAAATTTCTCTACTTTATCAAATTTCTGTACTATCTTTTAAAAACGAACACTTGATTATATAACCTGTATAACCAATACTTTGCCACATAAACTTACAAAAAAAAGTTTTATCTAATATGATTAATTAAATAAACAGGATAAGTAAATCCTAATTTAATATAATACAGTTAATAAGAGAAAAATCATGGTAATCTTTATAATCTGTATATTTAATAAGAGATACAGTTGAGTCAGGATATAAGTTAATTGTAAGTTTTATAAATCTGTTAACAGCCTCATAGTTTGGAACCACCAAAAGAAATTTTCTAGCTTTGAATACAATTCATGTATTCTCAAAATAAACATAGCTTGAAGATAAAAAAGTTACATAGTCTCAAGAAAATTCTTTTAGCAGTGTAATATTAAAATGTGTAATATTGCGGTTTTTCAAGCTGTTCTGCAAAATGTGTAAAAAAAAGAGGTAAAAAAACTTAAACATTTAAAAAAATTAAAGAAGTTTTGTATAAATCCACTGAAAAACTGTTATGTATTAATGGTATTTTGTATCAGTGAATTTACAATTTGTATGCTTTAATCTTTCATTGCTGCAGTGGAAATCATTTTGATGTTACTTGAATAATTTTGAAAGCTCTGTTTTTGTTTGTTTGTTATTAAACATAAGGCTATACAATGTGCTATCTGTACTGCACCCACCATGGGTATCAACACCCAATTTTTAGCATTATAAGCCCTCAGACTTATTGCTAAACTAATGAAGAAAGTTTTTTTTTCTTTAAAGGTGGTAATAGATGGCTTAGTATGTCTCATCCAATGCTGTAATAAATTTCCACATATCTCCTGCAAGATCTTTCTCAAAACATTTTCTCTCTGATATGTATTTACAGAGGAGTTTGCATTTCTTTTCTAAATTGTGTCTTTGATGATTGTGGCAAAATACAGAACTTGCTGATTGGTGCAGGTTTAGAGGGCATGTTTAAAACAGTTTTCATGACAGTTAGATTATTTTCTTAGATGGCGGAGAAAAACTCTTCAAACTCTCAAAAGGATTTCTTGGCATAATACAAAAAGGTGTTTCTATTGATTAAAGAATAAAATGAAACATTTCTTTCAAAAGATCAGCAAATTATCTGTCTTATGATAAAGCACTGTTTAAAGCATAATGAGAAACATCCACAATTCTGACTTTTTCAAAGAGAATAAAAGATATATTAAATTTTTTATAATATTCAAAGCTCATTTTTTCACTTTTGTATAAATTAATAAATGTAAGCAAACATAAGCACACAAATGAATAACAAAAGAACCTAAGAATCCATCTACACAGTGCTGAGTAGATTCAGAACAGAGTGAAAACCCTATCAAGGAATTCACTCACTTTCTTGCATCTCCAATGAAATTCAACACTGCTCCTTCCCTTTTCCACTGAATGTTAGGAGTAGGGTTTCCCTCGACTCCACAGTTTAACACTGCAGGGTTGTCTTTCACAACAACCAAATCTGTTGGCTCTACCGTAAAGTGAAAAGTTGTGAAATCTGCTGCATCTCCTGAAAATACATCATAAAAAATGTGAAGTTTTAAGACAGGCCCAAACTACTTCAAAGCACATTTTCCTACAGAGTTTACATCAATAAATATTAAATTTCCTGACTACCAGACTTTTTTTTTACTATGTTCTCTCCAGTACTTGCTTTTATATGCACACTGGATTACAAGGTTTCAAGGATGTAATCATAGAGTCAAAAGTTATCTGTCTATTCTTAAATTGATTTTCTTTAGAACATTAAATTAGTATCATAACTTACTCAACAAGAAGAAAAAAATTCTTTAACTGGGACAACTGAAAAGTTGACTTGGTAAGACACAGGTAAATACTTGTTATAGATAAACAACAAATGTGGACTGTGTTGTAATATAATAAATACAAAAACAAAGGATTGGTGTACTTTATGTTTAATATTCTGTTTAGTCACTCCTGGACATGGTAGTATTGGTCATCTTAAATCAGACTTATATACAATATCATGTGCCCTATCTCCCTCTCCTCACACCTAAAGAAAGGGCAAAATATTTCCTTTATTAACATTTCCATTACTGATTGAAAGTTTTCCAAGTTTCTGTATCCTAGAAAAATTATTTTGCAGTGTTCTTCAGTGAAAACAATTTATATAGGATCAAATTAACAGTCACGACATAGAATATAAACTAATTAGTATTTATAACTTACACTAATAGTAATTAATTTATCTATCCTATAAGCTACTAAACACAATGAAAAATTTTCTGTATTGTTTTAAAGAGCAATCGCTAAACTTCGTTTAGATGTTAGAAAATAAACCCAATACCCCGAGCGCTTTCACAAAGTGAACTTTCCTTCATCAGATATCTTATTTAGATTGATTAACATTATAAAAAGTGAATGTTCAAATCTTTGAAACCTTTACAACAAATGTGCCGCTAACAGGTTTAAAATGTTAATTTCGTACGTTTAGGCGAAGAGAAACTGATATGAAACGGAATTCAAACCACGTCCTTGCTAAGGTTCTAACCAGATGACCTCATATGTTGAGTACTTCGACCTTCATATCACTTTTTTTTTTTCAAAACGATATATGGTTAGAATATTGAACATTGACGGCCAGTCTTTTTAATACAAAAAATATTTATTTTCATTTGTTTGCACACGATACTTATTTTTGTATAATTGAATTAGATTTACGAAATACAGGTACAGACTATTCTACGAATCTTTGTATTTTTCGTGCTATCTTTAAAAGTTATAATTCATAAAAACAGATACAATCAACTCTTCAATAAAATAACTCAAATTGTGCTGAAACTGGGCGTGATAGATAGGTATAGAATGTTTGATGCTTCTTCAGCACTCCAAGATCACCGATATTATTCAGAAAAAAAGCTTGTTCTATATATATATATGATAAAATTCTAACTCAAAAGACTCTTGCAGCATTGTTATATATATATGATATAAATAAAAATATCTAAGAAGGGCTTCCACTTACAACAGAATAACGAGATTTAAGTTACGAATTTATTTAAAGAAAAAGGCTTAACTATTAAAAGCATCACGAGACGGTTTAAGGAAACAGGTATTTGTGCTGATACAAGTTATACGAGTGGCGGTAATTTTGTTTGTCATTTTTTCCGTTGTCTTTTTTACCTAGATTCTGGTTAAACAAAGGTGTACCTTTAATGGAAAAAAGTTAACCTACTACCATTTTTGTAGATTAAACAAAATAAAAACAAAGTATTATATAGAAAAACAAAAGAAGAGTATTAAACTGTGACAAATACTAATGCTATTAAAGGTAGTTTTTGCAATGTTTTCGTGAAGAAACTTTATCCCACCCGTATGAGAACTATAAAGGCGAAATGTAGCCTTGTTATGACGATACGTCTTATCTTACCTCTCGTTCAACTCAAATAGCCTTACAACAATGAAGACACTATAAACATCCATCCTAGTTGTACCGTTTGAAAGATTCTTCTGAATTTGTTTTAGTGAAATGCGTTTTCAGAAGTTAGCAAGATGAAATAGGCTTTAAGAAAATCCTTTCCTGTGAGATCTACAAAAATCCAGCTATAATATTTTCACAGCCAGCTTCAGCTCAGGTGCAGAAGCAATATTTGTAACCAGAACCAAAATTCTACAGAGGTCTTGTTTTGTTATGAATTTCGCGCAAAGCCACACGAGGGCTATCTGCGCTAGCCGTCCCTAATTTAGCAGTGTAAGACTATAGGGAAGGCAGCTAGTCATCACCACCCACCGACTCTTGGGCTACTCTTTTACCAACGAATAGTGGGATTGACCGTCACTTTCACGGCTGAAAGGGCGACCATGTTTGGTGGGACGGAGATTCGAACCCGCGACCCTCAGATTGCGAGTCGAGTGTCCTAACCACCTGGCCATGCCGGGCCTACAGAGGTCATTCTCATGTTTAAATACATGTGACAGTCAGTATTTTAATAAATGTATAAAAGAAATATTTGGTGGATTAGTGGAACTTTCTTTTTTAAGTACATCCTTTTTGTTTTTGTAATGATAAAAATGAAAGAAAGCTTGGTTTGTTTCGAATTTCGCCCAAAGCTAGCCGTCCATAATTTAGCAGTGATAGATTAGAGGGAAGGCAGTTAGTCATCACTGCCCACCGCCAATTCTTGGGTTACTTTTGTACCAACGAATAGTGAGATTGACCGTCACATAATAACGCCTCGTGGCTAAAAGGTTGGCATGTTCGATGTGACAGGTATTAGAACCCGCGACTCTCAGATTACAAGTCGAATGCCCTAATCACCTGGCCATGAAAAAAAGCGACACGATAATTACTTTACTAAGACATATAATTAATGCGGTGGAACAAATCTGAATTTTTTAACTTTTACT